TGAAATGAGCTGGAGGGCTGGGCTGATGAGAAATCTCAATGTCAAATGCTGGTCAAAAAATAAATAAAAACAGGAAGAAATGCCCGATGAGCTTTCAAATATGTAGGAGGGAAGATATGATAAGATGCGGTTGGAACCAGACGTCTGTTACTGGCACCAAGAACATTCTGATCATTTTGAGACAGAAAGTTAAGCTGGAACAAAAAAGTTGTAAAGATAATGTAGAAAATGTCTGTATGTTCTTTTAGAATCATGCAGATTGCAGGTTGTAAGCATTTTTTAAAATCGGCTTTCAATGTTGACAGAGCACAGACACTCTGCTGTAACTTGGGAACTGCTAACAGTGCTGCCACCTGCATGTTGCTATCTGCATGTGGCTGTCTGCTTGTTGCATTCAGTCGCCAGCTAGTTCAACATTGTTTATATTGAGACCTAGAGCTTTGAGAAAGGCTCATTTTTTCTCAAGAAGTCTTGTCCAGCAGATCAAGGGAGGCCTAAATTTGTCAATCAAAATTCCTCATGGGCTATTCACCTATCTCTTAAACCCAGTCCAGCCTGGCTGCTCAGGATACTGACCTTCTGAGTCTTAAAAGGGCCTGTTCAGAGAGAATCCCAAGGCACTTCTTTCAGGTCAGGGAGTTCAAAAAACCCTGGCAGGAAAAGGAAATGCCATTCCCTACCCTCACCATTTACCCAAACCTCACTTGCCATACACAGAGAGTACCATCCACAGGGTTGTGGTTTACTGATCCCGTCACTTGGAGGGATTAAAATAGCTAGACCGGTGCTTCAGAAGCATCTACAGACGATGACGATGTATTTTCATAACAGCTGGCTTTTAAGAGTCCTGCTTCCCCAACTTTTTCAACAGAGCTTACCAGTATGGAAGAGACACACTTGAAGTATTGTTGTGGGTTATTTTTAGTGCCAGTATTTCTCTTTGGAGTTTGTGTGAGTTAATCCAAGTCACAAGCTGAAAGGAAAGTGGGAAAGGTAAGGAGAGGGGAAACAATCTCACTTCGGCTTGCTTGCCAAGATTTGAAAGGAATTGCCTTCCCCTCTTTAGTATAGTACAAAAATAAAATCCAAAAAGCCTAGCTCTTTCTTTATACTAATTTCAATACAACTAAAAGCTCCCTGCATTCAATTTCTGAGCTGGAACAAATCTTAAAGGTAATCTAATGTAATTCCTCTTGTTTGCCAGGGGAGGGAATTGAAGCCAAGACAAGGGGAGGGCCTTGCCCAAGGTCACATATGTGTCACTGGTGGAGGGAAGACTGGAACTCAGTTCTCCTGGCCCTATCCAGGGGCCTTTTAAGAAATCACCCAAACTTTACAGGAAGGTGCCATAGATGCTGGGGAGCTCATAAACACTGCATCTGCTGATTAAATAAAATATTCAATTAAAAGATGTTCAAGTAATCTTTGTCTGGCAGAAATAGAAAGGAAAAAAAGATTTTGCTAATAGTTAAGCTTTCTGAGAATCTGTTTTATAACTATTGGGAGACTAGGGAGTAGAAGAAAGACTTAAGGCAGGTTTGCAATGAGAGAACTAGAATATTTCACACTCCTACCATTGATCCTGCATGTTACATATCTCATCTCTTTATATAATCTTCATATTAGCCTCATTGGACAAATAAGATTTTTTTAAGTTTGCTCACATTCACAGAGGGATGAGATATTATTATTTCTGGGTCTCTTGTTGGTAGGCCCAGGATCACGTTCTGGACAAACATGGATATTTGTAATTCAGTGATGGTGACAGCCTTCCCAACACGGACCCATGCTCTAGCTATTTCAATCTACTCGAGGTTCCTGTGACAGGTCATGCTATTTCTAGACTCCTCGCCTGAACACATGCAATCCCCTCTGTTCGGAATGCCTTTCCCCCAATTTCTTCATCTCCATTACTCGTACTTAGCCTTCAAAACTTAGCTCCAGGGCCACCTACTTCCAGAAGACTTTCCTGCCACCCCAACCCGATTTGCATGTCCCACTCTGTACTTTTCAGCCCTCCATGTCCATTGCTTTTATAGTATATTATCACGATTGTGAGTTATCATTTACTTGCCTATTTTCCTTATACTTGTCTGAATCTCCTTAAAGGCAGATGTCATGACTTAGTCTTTATCTTCCAGCACCTACCACAGTTCAGGGCATGTATTAGTGCTCAATAAATGTTTGAAAATATGGCTGAATGAACAAATAAAATATTTCCCCTCCTTTTCTTCCATTAAATTCATTTAATAAAAATTCTCATTTTCATGCTCCTGACTTTTGGGTAACTTAGGGGGGGAAATAGAAGATATCACCATTATCAGTTTCCCTTCTTTTCAAGCCTGATGGGCCACTTAAAAAAAAAAAAAAACAGCTGTCTGAATAAATGTATTAATTTCTCCTTCCTTATGAAATGCACTGATCACAGTAGAAGAATTGACATGCTCAAACCACAAGGACAAAGCGAACAGGAACACAGGAATAGAGTCATCAGCAGTTAAGAAATGTCAACACCGTCCTGGAAGATGGAAAATGGATGGATGAGTGATAAGTGACTGAGCAAACCCGAAGCTGCTACAGCCCAAGTGCTAATGATGGAAAGCCGACGGAGGCCACGGAGCCCAGCAGCAGACACGAAAAAAGACAAAAAAAAAAAAAATTGTGATATTAGGAATCTAGAAGGAAAGGAATCAGTGTTTGTGTGTGTTGGAAAAAAGCAAGGTCCCAATATTCCTTAGTAGGAAATAAATAAATAACTTTTAAAATTGCAAAATCAAGAAATAGCTAGTAAAGGTATATTGCTTAAAAATATGGAGTTGAGGGCCGGCCCGGTGGTGCACTGCTACAGTGCACTGCTTGGGAAGCACGATGGCGCTCCCGCCGAGGGTTCGGATCCCACATACAGACCGGTTCCCACTCACTGGCTGAGCGAGGTGTGGGAGCAATACCGAGGGTTGTGATCCCGTTGCCAGTCCCGGTCCGGTGCGGGCGCGACACTGAGGGTTGTGGTCCATTGCCAGACACGAAAAAAGACAAAAAAAAAAAAAATTGTGATATTAGGAATCTAGAAGGAAAGGAATCAGTGTTTGTGTGTGTTGGAAAAAAGCAAGGTCCCAATATTCCTTAGTAGGAAATAAATAAATAACTTTTAAAATTGCAAAATCAAGAAATAGCTAGTAAAGGTATATTGCTTAAAAATATGGAGTTGAGGGCCGGCCCGGTGGTGCACTGCTACAGTGCACTGCTTGGGAAGCACGATGGCGCTCCCGCCGAGGGTTCGGATCCCACATACAGACCGGTTCCCACTCACTGGCTGAGCGAGGTGTGGGAGCAATACCGAGGGTTGTGATCCCGTTGCCAGTCCCGGTCCGGTGCGGGCGCGACACTGAGGGTTGTGGTCCATTGCCAGACACGAAAAAAGACAAAAAAAAAAAAAATTGTGATATTAGGAATCTAGAAGGAAAGGAATCAGTGTTTGTGTGTGTTGGAAAAAAGCAAGGTCCCAATATTCCTTAGTAGGAAATAAATAAATAACTTTTAAAATTGCAAAATCAAGAAATAGCTAGTAAAGGTATATTGCTTAAAAATATGGAGTTGAGGGCCGGCCCGGTGGTGCACTGCTACAGTGCACTGCTTGGGAAGCACGATGGCGCTCCCGCCGAGGGTTCGGATCCCACATACAGACCGGTTCCCACTCACTGGCTGAGCGAGGTGTGGGAGCAATACCGAGGGTTGTGATCCCGTTGCCAGTCCCGGTCCGGTGCGGGCGCGACACTGAGGGTTGTGGTCCATTGCCAGACACGAAAAAAGACAAAAAAAAAAAAAATTGTGATATTAGGAATCTAGAAGGAAAGGAATCAGTGTTTGTGTGTGTTGGAAAAAAGCAAGGTCCCAATATTCCTTAGTAGGAAATAAATAAATAACTTTTAAAATTGCAAAATCAAGAAATAGCTAGTAAAGGTATATTGCTTAAAAATATGGAGTTGAGGGCCGGCCCGGTGGTGCACTGCTACAGTGCACTGCTTGGGAAGCACGATGGCGCTCCCGCCGAGGGTTCGGATCCCACATACAGACCGGTTCCCACTCACTGGCTGAGCGAGGTGTGGGAGCAATACCGAGGGTTGTGATCCCGTTGCCAGTCCCGGTCCGGTGCGGGCGCGACACTGAGGGTTGTGGTCCATTGCCAGACACGAAAAAAGACAAAAAAAAAAAAAATTGTGATATTAGGAATCTAGAAGGAAAGGAATCAGTGTTTGTGTGTGTTGGAAAAAAGCAAGGTCCCAATATTCCTTAGTAGGAAATAAATAAATAACTTTTAAAATTGCAAAATCAAGAAATAGCTAGTAAAGGTATATTGCTTAAAAATATGGAGTTGAGGGCCGGCCCGGTGGTGCACTGCTACAGTGCACTGCTTGGGAAGCACGATGGCGCTCCCGCCGAGGGTTCGGATCCCACATACAGACCGGTTCCCACTCACTGGCTGAGCGAGGTGTGGGAGCAATACCGAGGGTTGTGATCCCGTTGCCAGTCCCGGTCCGGTGCGGGCGCGACACTGAGGGTTGTGGTCCATTGCCAGACACGAAAAAAGACAAAAAAAAAAAAAAATTGTGATATTAGGAATCTAGAAGGAAAGGAATCAGTGTTTGTGTGTGTTGGAAAAAAGCAAGGTCCCAATATTCCTTAGTAGGAAATAAATAAATAACTTTTAAAATTGCAAAATCAAGAAATAGCTAGTAAAGGTATATTGCTTAAAAATATGGAGTTGAGGGCCGGCCCGGTGGTGCACTGCTACAGTGCACTGCTTGGGAAGCACGATGGCGCTCCCGCCGAGGGTTCGGATCCCACATACAGACCGGTTCCCACTCACTGGCTGAGCGAGGTGTGGGAGCAATACCGAGGGTTGCGATCCCGTTGCCAGTCCCGGTCCGGTACGGGCGCGACACTGAGGGTTGCGATCCGTTGCCGGACACGAAAAAAGACAAAAAGGAAAAAATATATATATATATGGAGTTGATTAGCAGAGGAAAAAAATTGAGATTTAAAAGTGGTTGCATCTGAGGGAGACTGGGGCATGGGGAAGGGAAGAGCAAGAACTGCTGTCATTCATTATAAGCCTTTTGGTACCATGTGGCTTTTTAAACCCTCTTCATGTATTATATTGATAAATATAAAAATTAATTTAAAAAAAAGAAAAAGAAAATGGCTCAGTCAGAGCACAGTGGTCTCCCAGAGATTACATTCCACCTCCCAGTCAACATGTTAATGCCCGGGGCCATCAAATTAAGTCTCCAACAAGCTATAAAGTATTTACTTAATTACCTGAAGCAGAAGTTCACCAGCGTGTCCACAGCTTGCTTCAGAATCCACCTGGGAAGTGTCAAAGAAAACGAGAGCTGGAATAGTAGTTAAAGCAGTAAAAACAGACTTTATTCAGGACTATAGCAATGGAGGAAAAGAGACCTCAGCACAGAACTGGACTCAGTTCCGAAAGGAGCACGGGCAAGCGGGAATTTATAGCCAAGAAGCAGGATGGTGGTTGGTGGATGGAAAATTACAGAGGAAGCATCAAGGGTAAGGGGTGGAGGGGTGGCAGCCGTGGGGGTGGGGG